ACCTTCTGCTTCTTTTTTCTTTCTTCCTCCTCCTCTTTTTTTTTTTTTTTTTCCTAAGCAACAGGTTAAAACATGTTAAATCATCCTTAGCTCAAGACCATATTAAAACTGTTTAGAGCAGTGCTTCTCAAACTTCAACGCACATATGCATTGCCAGGAAATCTTGTTAAAATGTAGATTCTGATGCTCTGGGTCTGGGGTTAGGCTGGGGATCCTGTATTTCTCTTATGCCCTTGGATACCAAAGCTTTAGAGGCTAATAGCATTTCATGTAATGAACAGCCCCCTCTACTGTTCAGTTTTTAATCCCCAGTGACTAGCTGACAACTCGGCTATTTTTGTTTTTGTATTTTAAACAAATAATGGGGTTGTTTTGGTCATAGTACTTTAGTGATTCTTCATTATTTTAAAGCCTCACACCTCTCTGAAAATTTAGTGAATGCTGCTGTCCCTCTAGCCACCTCTCCCTCCTGCCCACACACACACACACACAAAAATACCCGGTTTTATGCACAATTTCAAAAGAATTCACAGACCTATCTAAGGCTTATTCATCTTACAGGTCACTTCTATAGTTGTGTAATGTCTAAATTGAAGAGAGTTCAAAATTAATTCCCTCATATTTAATAACATCTTAAAATTTACATTGAAACTGTGTCTTGGGCTTCCCTGGTTACTCAGTGGTGAACAGTCTGACAATGAAGGAAATGTAGGTTTATATCCTTGGAAGATCTCCTGGAGAAGGAAATGCAACCCACAGTATGCTTGCCTGAGAAATCCCATTCACAGGGGAGCCTGGTGGGCTACAGTCCACAGCATGGCAAAAGAATCAAGTCTCAACTGAGTGACTAAACCACAACAATGTTTTTGCATATTTCCAATTCTGTTTACTTATCTATCTCCCTACTTACATGTCTATCAATCACCTATCTGACTTATAAGACCTTTTACTTTTATTTTATGCCCTATTGGCTATTGCTGGCCTGGTGATTACATTTAAAATGTAAAACTGTAAATGAGGAAAATAACCCAACTGTTGGTTAGAGTGAACCTGAATTGTTACAATGCCTTGTATTAAATTTTCTCGCAGTGCCTTTATGTATGACTTTTCAAAAACTACTTTATTGAGATACTATCCATACATACTTTACTCATTTAAAGCATATAATAGTTTTTATTATTTTTATGGAGCTTTCCAATCATCACCATTATCAATTTTAGAATATTTTCATCACTCCCCAAAGATTCTCAAGTCCCCCTTCACCTCTTGTCCCTATTTCCTACCCTAGATAACCACAGACCTTTTTGTTTCTATGAATTTAACTATTCTGGGTATTTTTGTAAGTGGAATCATTTTGTGACTAGCTACTTTCACTTAGCATAATATTTTCAGGGTTCACTTATGTTATAATGTTTGTCAGTATTTCATTCATTTTTACCGTGGAATAATATTCCATTATGTGGATATGTAACATTTATTTATCTACTCATCTCTTAAGGGACATTTGGGTTCTTTCCATTTAAAAAAATTATTATGAATAATGCTGCTATGAATGTTACAGTACATTAAAAGGTTTTTGTGTGGATATAAGGTTTCATTTCTCTTGGGTTATGTGTGTATGATGCTGAAGCTGAAACTCCAGTACTTTGGCCACCTCATGCGAAGAGTTGACTTATTGGAAAAGACCCTGATGCTGGGAGAGATTGGGGGCAGGAGGAGAAGGGGACAACAGAGGATGAGATGGCTGGATGGCATCACTGACTCAATGGGCATGAGTTTGAGTAAACTCCGGGAGTTTGTGATGGACAGGGAGGCCTGGCGTGCTGCGATTCATGGGGTTGCAAAGAGTCGGACACAACTGAATGACTGAACTGAACTGAACTGATGTGTCAGGCAGTGGCATTGCTGGGTTCTTTGCCACTAGCACCACCTAGCAAGACGTTAGGGCCTTAGTACTTACAGTCTATAACCTTCTTTATTATTGTGATTCAGGATGTGATTCCCTTTCCATTTTTAAATGCTTTGAGTCTCTGTTGTTCCTTTTTTTTTTTTAAATTCTGCCCTGTGCACTGTAAATTACTCTTGCTTTAAATACCTAGTACTTGTACTGTGTAAGTTCCTTCTAGAATCTGATGCGATAACAAATGGTAATCAGCAACCTTTAAAAGTTAATCCTTTTCAGAAAAGGAAAGGTTCATTCACTACCAAAATAAATTCCCTTTATTAAATTAAAATATGAATTTCAAATTAATATGGAAAGTAAACTGGAATAATATTGATGAGTAAATCTTACTTTGGTTTATTGAGAAGAAATGTGCTAATATTAGATGATTGGTTTGAAAATTGTAAGAGCTAACTTTTAAAAGCTCATATCTAGATTATCATTACATCTCCAAACAGATTTCTCTCACCATTTCCTTTAGGATTATTTACAGCAGCTGGTGGTGCAGCAGCTGGTGGAAACTTTCCACAAATAATGACTTTTGACACTTTATAAATTAAAATATTCAAAACAATACATTATGCAAAATTTTCATCTTAAAATACCAAATGGGTCCTTCTCTTCCTGTTTCTTCTAACTTTTAATGTTCCTGTAGTCAAAGGAAGGATATTGGTACCTGTCACTCTTTCTTACCATATGGAATACCAAATTCTGTCAAGTGTTTATTTTATGATGTACCTTATATTTTCCTCCATTTTTCTACATTAAGTGTTGTTTATAAATGTCAGGTTCTTTTTTATTGTTCTCTGGGATATTGAGGTAACTCTCACCTGGCTTTTTGCCTCCCTAATTAAAGAATCTTTCTAATACACAGTTGGTCATGTCACTGCCTCCTTGAAATCAGTGAGCCATATAGAATAAAAGTCACATTCAGTATCATGTTATTTTAAGGCCTGTTGTCTTTGGCCACATGACTATCTTTCACCCTCACCTTCCACGTTCACGTCCTCTCTGATTATTAAATGTATTATGCATGTACTGTCATTTCTCTGTCCTTTTGCTCATGCTGCTTCTTCAGTGTAAATGTCTTTCTCCTTCTGTTGCATTCTATTTTCATTCTTCACAATCCAATTTATTTTTTATTTTTAGTATTTATTTTTATTGGAGTATAGTTGCTTTACACTGGTATGTGAGTTTCTGCTATACAGGAAAGTGAGTCATGTTTCCATATGCATATATCCCCTCTTTTTTGGATTTCCTTTCTATTTAGGTCACCAGAGAACACAGATTAGAGTTCCCTATGCTATACAGTAGGTTCTTGTTAGTAACCTGTTTTATTCATAGTAATATATTTATGTTAATGCCAATCTCCCAATTCAACCACACCTTTCCCCTCTTGATATTGATTTGTTTTGTACATCTTTGTCTCTCTTTCTGCTTTTCAAATAAGATTATCTGTACCAGTTTTCTAGATTACACATATATATGTTAATATATGATATTTGTCTTTCTCTTTTTGACTTAACTTCACTCTGTATGACAGTCCTTAGGTCCATCCACTTCTCCGCCAGTGACACAGTTTCATTCTTTTTTATGACTGAGTAATATTCCTTTGTATATATGTGCCATATCTTCTTTATGCATTCCTCTGCTGATGGACATTTAAGTTGCTTCCATGTCCTGGCTATTGTACATAGTGTTGGAATGAACACTGAGGTGCATGTGTTCTTTTAAATTAATGTTTTTTCTGGGTATATGTCTAGGCATGGGATTGCTGGGTCATACAGTAGTTCTGCTTTTAGTTTTGGAGGAACTTTCACACTTCTCCATAGTGGCTGTATCAGTTTACATTCCCACCATCTGTGTAAGAGGTTTCCCTTTTCTCCACACCCACTTCAGCATTTATCATTTGTAGCTATTTTGAGGATGGCCATTCTGATTGATGTGAGGTGATATCTCATTGTAATTTTGATTTGCATTTCTCTAATAATTAGTGATGTTGAGCAGCTTTTCATGTATTTATTGGCCATCTGTATATCTTCTTTGGAAAAATTTACTGGCCATCTGTATATTTTCCTTGGAAAAATGTCTATATAGGGCTCCTACCCATTTTTCTGGAGAAGGAAATGGCAACCCACTCCAGTTTTCTTGCCTGGAAAATCCCACGGATGGAGGAGCCAGGTGGGCTTCAGTCCATAGGGTCACAATTGTTTTTTGATATTGAAATAATGAACTGTTTGTATGTTGTGGAGATCAATCTCTTGTCACTTGCTTAATTTGTACATATTTTCTCCCATCCTGTGGGTTGTCTTTATAATCCAATTTAAATGCTACCTTTTTTGGGGGGCAACCTCTTACTATGCTCTAATTAAAGTTGAGATTACTTTTCTAGATCTTCTCCTATAATGCGTTTCTTGGACTGCCATGCAACACTTACTTCAGCATAATGATTTAGCTTGAGTTCCTCAGTCAGAGATACCTAGGGTCAAATCCCACCTCTGCTGCTTACTTCTTTCACAGTCGTGGGCAATTTATGTCATTAAACTTCTTCCTTGTCTGTTGAATGCAGTTAATTATTGTTTGTATATAATGTTCTGGTCTTTTATTGTGTTAGCTCTGATAGCACAATGCCAGTGTGATAAATGGTTTGTATGTGTATATTCTAGGTACTTCCCCACTTGACTTTCTCCTTCAGTAAATAGTAAGCCCTTTGAGGACAGGAAATTAACCTGACTCATCTTAGTATCCTTTCCATTTTACTGGTTTCAAAAGAAAATTTCATGCTGTTTTTACTTTTGTTTGGAATGACTCATGGAACATGTTAAACTCAACTCGTTAAAATTGAAATATTAATTTATTGCTATATTGTCTTGTTCCACAAGGAATGTGGGGTGACTTACGAGATGCATAAAGAACAAAAGACTGAAGCATAAATAAAATGGTAGTAAGTGCATTTTGAATGATTGAATAGTTTAATTTCATCAGTGTGAACCCAAGTTGAAACAAAAGCTATAGATAAGGAAATCAGAGCTTGTGTTCATTTTGTCATATTTTGCAGGATCTCGTCTTCGCCAGGAAGACTTTCCCCCGAGGATCGTGGAGCACCCCTCTGATGTCATTGTCTCTAAGGGAGAGCCCACTACTTTGAACTGTAAGGCCGAGGGCCGGCCAACGCCCACCATTGAGTGGTACAAGGATGGTGAGCGGGTGGAAACTGACAAGGATGATCCCCGGTCCCACAGGATGCTTCTGCCCAGCGGATCCTTATTCTTCTTACGCATTGTGCATGGGCGCAGAAGTAAACCTGATGAAGGAAGCTATGTGTGTGTTGCAAGGAACTATCTTGGTGAAGCAGTGAGTCGAAATGCATCTCTGGAAGTGGCATGTAAGTAAACGTAATGAATCTCACAAATGGCATGCACTTTGATTTATTTTTAGTAAGCTTTGATTCGTTCCCATGGGTGCTTAATACCTAAAGAATAAAAGTCAACACTGACTAATTTTACTGTGCTTTCTCCAGAGAAAGCTCATCAAAATAATGTATAGCCAAGGTGTTGCAATAGAATTATTTATTGAGCTGGCCAAAAAGTTTGTTTGGATTTTTCCATTATAGCATACAGAAACCTGAACAAATTTTTGGCCACCCCAATATATTGAAAGAGTGTGGGTATTATATTATTATATTAAATCAAGGTGGCAATGATGCTGATCATATTTTAAGTTTGAATTTTTAATGAGAGATATAATCAAGCATTATGATGGACAATGTTAAAATAAAGAGTTTATGTGTAACATGGCATCAAATATAAGGCATAAATTCATTATTGTACCTATTTCTGTTCTGTTTATATGTACCTATTTTAATATATTTGTACATATTGTTTTTTATATCTAATTTTTATTGGGCAGCTTTAAAACGAATATACTCTTTAGGTTATATTAACTCTTTTGCTTCCAGGGTAAGTTCAGAGATGCCCCAAGGCATGTAGGGGAAAATATACTAACAAAAGGAATTATATTTTTTTTATAAAAATGCACTAGAGAAGAGAAGTGATTTCTGTTTATAGTCAAAATATTCATATACATGAAGATCTCACTCAGATTTTATAATGAGTAATAGCTAATGATTTGTCCTGCCTTTGACACTTAAGATTGTATTTATTTATTAGTCATGTAGCCCAAATAGCACTAGTTAAATCAATATATCAAGACTTTGCATCTGTTTGACCATTGACTCCATACCTTTATTTTTCGAATGGTTTTCCAGAACAAATTTCACAATACATTAGATTTGTTTTCTGGCTTATACGTGAGGATTTGGTGTCACAATTTAAACAGCATCATGTAATTTTGGTATTCTCTATTTTGAAGAAATATTTTATCAATAATTATTTGTGAATAAGATGGCAGTAATTGAGTTTTAAAAAATTTTGTGCTTTTCAACTTCTTGCATGTACCAGTAGGTGTTCATAGATAAGATAACTGAAATATTTCAGAATGCATGAGTCTTTTTTTTTTCTTTACAAAGTTGGAATGGGAGTCCTGGATATAATATTTCATAGGCTCATGTCTACAATTAACTGATACTATACTCACAGGCTGTATGGTAGCACGTGATTATAAAACTTGTATATATATGTATTGAAATACTCAACAATATATCATTATCTTTATATATGAAAGCATCTTTCAGTAAACAAAATCATACAATTTCTTACTCAGTTGTCTCAATGAAAGTTTTTGCTCTTAAGCATCCAGTATTTAGATTTATGGTTTGTACTAGGAAATCTGGAACCTGCTCCATGCTTGAAATGTGTAGGTTCAATAGGAAAACACTACACTAATTCTAAAACCCTAATTTATTCTGTGAAGTACTTGTACTTTGAAATATAAGCATTAGAACTTTTGCTATCAATGCCATTTTGTACCAGATCAGGTTAGATCCCTGGATCGGGGAGATCCCCAGGAGAAGGAAATGACAACCCATTCCAGTATTCTTGCCTGTGAAATCCCCTGGCGGGTTATAGACTATTGCAAAAGAGTTGGACATGACTTAGCTACTAAAACAGCATCAACAAGCTAAGTAATTTCATTTTTATAACTTTCTTTTAAAAGCAGTTAGTTTAAAAGCAGTTTAGTGAGATATGATATATATACACCCCAAACCTCAAGAAAACAAATATTCCTAACTGCTTATTTTTGTTTTGAATTATCTTATTTCTGGAACATTTCAAACATATCAAAATATTTCAGTGTTAATTCTATTGACTTTTCTCCCCACAGGATCCCTTTATAGTAAATGTAACAAGCACTATTTTTTTCCTTTTATAAATAGAATGAAACCCCTGATGGTTGGGTGACCAAGACTCTCACCATAAGTTAAAGGGGAATTCAGGATCAGGCCACGTTTGTTCTAATTTTCAGTTTTAGATAATTATGCCATATTTGGAAAACAGTCAAAGGAAATCTGGCTCATTTTATATAAAAAAATAAAGATGTTTTAATTAAAAGTTTTCTTTTATCTACTCAATAGCAAATAATGCGTTTTACTTATTAAATTGAAGTATAGTTGATGTGCAATATTATAGCCATTTCAGGTGTACCACATAGTGATTTACAATTTTTAAAGGTTAAATTTCACTTATAGTTGTTCTAAAATATGGGCTATAGTCCCTGTGTTGTACTGTGTATCCTGTTAGCTTATTTATTTTAAGCAAATAACTATATTTTTAATCCTTAACTAACTTTCTTCTTAACATTAAATTTTATATAAATCAGCCAGTCACTTTTTTTGTTGGGCAGCTATAAACTTATTTTGTTTTCTGAGCCTTATCTTTCTTAAAATAGCTTCTAACACACATGTACCTTGCACTTTTATTTAACTGAAAGGATTTCTCTCTTTCCTAGTTGCATCATTAATAATGAATCAAACTGTTTGAGAAGGAAAATTTTAAACCATGATTTTGTTTTTCATGTAATGTGGAAGTAGCATTTTTCTTTATTTTTTAAATCAGTAAGCTTTGAGGAATGCTAAAAAAATGCTTCTGACTTAGAGGGGGAAAACAAGATGGGTTCTAAATTGGATTCAGCTAGTGAATAAAATTCTTTCTTCTAATGCCCTGTCAACAGTTCATGCCATTTGAGGCAACACGAGATCAAATAATATCCATTTATATGCTGCTCATCCTTTTCACATTAGCTCATCAGTATTCTTCCTTTCCTTGTGTGTTTCATAAAATGTGTTAATATGGAAATCTAGGTCAAAGCATTGTGATTTGTCAGTACTATTGATAACCAAGGTATAGTTTTACAAAATGATAGGAACCATCGTGGGTCATATAAATGTCTGGCCTTCATATTTTTGGATGCAACATAATTGCTCAATTATGGCACATCTATTTATAAGTCTGTTAACGGAAAGAATGGAAGCCTGAAAACACTATGTATTTGGAGAACTGAAGGTAGCTTGATATGAGGTTGGTGGGCAGCATGTTAGTCATGTGGTAAATCATAAAATCTAGACTTTTTGCTATGTAAAAGGAGGATGTTAGAAAGAAAATTGAAGATTAGGTTAAATTGATGGAGATTGAAGTCAGAGTGGAGTTAGAAGCTGTAAAATCATTCAGAGAAAAGTATATGTTAGGTTTTAAATTGTATGAAACAGTGAGGATTGAAAGAAGGAAATAGTTTGAATCATATTTACAAACTGTATCACTTTGTGGTTGGTTTGGGAGATAAAGGTAATTCCCAGATGTTTTTGGTGGAGTGACTAGGTGTATTATGATACCTATGATACAAAGGGATGGCAGATACAGGAGAAATAGCTCTAGTGGAAATAGCATAGTGCAGTCAGTATGGTTGTATTGTTTGACATATCAATGAAATAATAGCAAGGTAAAAATATGCCATGTTCTATTAAGAAAAGAGCTCCTGGAGTTTAGAGGTCTTTCCCAGATGGAAGTTGAAGCCGTGGGAGTAGATAGACGTGGATGTGAATGCCCAGGCAAGCTCTTTGTAGGGAATGGTTGATAAGTCCTGAGATCACTTCCCTTGTTTGGAACCCTAACATTAATGTCAGGCAAAGGAAAGAATTCTAGTGCAGGAAGCTTAGAGAAAGTATTGAGGTGATGGAATATGAGGAATGGAGTGACAAGAAAAATAAGCAAATAATTTTAAGAAAGAGAAGTATTTGGTAATGCAAATGCTACAGGGTGGTCTAATGAAAAGTATCTGTGGGCTCCAGGGTTGGAAAGAAAGTACAGCAGCTGAAGAATAAGTAGGTGGTGAAGTTGGAGTGGCACATGACAAAGTGCCTGTTCTGTCAAGAATTCAGCTCTGAGTTGGGTTTGAGGGAACCCCAGCAGGGTATTCCAGCTTCGGCACTATTACCCTGTGTGACGGGGTGTGCCCTGTTGTAGGGGTCTGCTGTGCATCATAGAATGTGTAGCAGCATCTCTGCTCTTTACTGAGGAGCTGCCAGTAGGACCCCTGCAACCCAAGTTGTGGGCTTCCCCGGTGCTCAGTGGTAAAGAATCCACGTGTCAATGCAGGAGACATGAATTCAATCGCGGGGAAGTTCCCCTGGAAAAGGAACCGGTGACCCACACTAGTGTTCTTTCCTGGGGAATCCCATGGACAGAGGAGCCTGGCAGGCTACAGTCATTGCAAAAGAGTTAAGACATAACCCAGCAAGTAAACAACAACAGCCCAGGTCATGACCACAAAATCTTTCTCCAGGTTCTGTCAAATGTCCTCTTGATGGGGCAGGGACTGGGGAGAGGGTCAAAATCAGCTGAGAATTGATTTAGGTGTATATAAGGTGCTTAACGGTCCAGCTGGTCAAGGCTATGGTTTTTCCAGTGGTCATGTATGGATGTGAGAGTTGGACTGTGAAGAAAGCTGAGCGCCGAAAAATTGATGCTTTTGAACTGTGGTGTTGGAGAAGACTCTTGAGAGTCCCTTGGACTGCAAGGAGATCCAACCAGTCCATCCTAAAAGAGATCAGTCCTGGGTGTTCATTGGAAGGACTGATGCTGAGGCTGAAACCCCAGTACTTTGGCCACCTCATGTGAAGAGCTGATTCATTGAAAAATACCCTGACGCTTGGAGGGATTGGGGGCAGGAGGATAAGGGGACAACAGAGGATGAGATGGCCAGATGACATCACTAACTTGATGGGCATGAGTTTAAGTAAACTCCGGGAGTTGGTGATGGACAGGGAGGCCTGGCGTGCTGCGATTCATGGGGTCGCGTAGAGTCGGACACGACTGAGCAACTGAACTGAACTGAACTGAAGGTGCTTAAGGATATATGGAGAAGTAGCAAACAAACATAAATTTTATTGTGAAATAATTATTGATAAAAAATCTGAAATTTTTGACACTG